AATTTCATATAACCATTATGATTGGAAATTTTGATGAACATATGAATGATTGAGCTCTTGACAAAGACATGAAGTCAATCATTTTAGTTTACTGAAATATCAGGCATGAATCAATGTGTTGTGAAAGACATTGAAGTTATACAATATTTAAATATATTAACGTAGTTATTAATTAAATATTAAACACTTAAGTAACTGAATAAACTCTGCCAGACACTATCAGCAACAATTTACTGTGGGAGAGAAGTAACCAGATTCCAGTGGAGGAAGAAGTCGGGAAGAAGAGCTAGAAGTCCAACTGTATTACAAGGCAAGCACTCATATGTAATTCTCAGGGAAAAGGAGAGGAGGAAGACCAAAGAACACATTACACCGAAAAATGGAGGCAGATATGAAAAGAGTGAACAACAATTAGATTGAACTGGAAAGGAAGGCCAGAGGATAGAGTGGGTTAGAGAATGCTGGTCGGTGGCCTATGCTCCATTTGAAGTAACAGGAGTAAGTAAGTAAATAACTGAATTACACTTCCAATTGACTCATGATCTGAACTGTTTAAATTACTACACTTTCCACAAAACCCCTTCTGATACTAATCAACATATTCTCACTAGTGACTGGCTTCAAAATATATATCCTGGAGTGCTAATGAGGAGCAGTGACTAGTGGAGTTTAACCAGGTCAGTTGTGAGGTAGTAACTCTCTGAAGAGAACGGTGGATGTGTCGTTCATTTTTGTGGATTAGTTTAAGTTAGACATAAACACCGTTGGATGCCGGCTCAGTGGTCTAGTTGATTAAGTGCCTGGCGCAAGACTGATAGGTCCTGGGTTGGAATCTCGCGAGGCGGGGTCGTGGAGGCGCACTGCTGAGGAGTCCCATAATAGGAAGAAACAGCCGTTCAGTACTCCTAGGTTTTTCATGGTTGTCTAGCATCACTTGACTCATGGTCTCAATTGTTTAAGTTACTGCAATCTCCACAAAACGACTTCCAAATATGCTTATGTACTAGGCATTCATTAAAGAAATTCAAATATAGACATCGAATGTTTTGTTTTGTTTTTCTAAATAGACATGAAATGTACTTATCATTCAACAAGTTATTTCATAAAAGCATTTTCCTTGCAAAAATAAAAATAATTTTTTTGAAAATGGATAACAATAATGTAACTAAAAATTGATTTGCGGATTAATTGACATTTCACTTATGAATTAAAAAGTGGACAGTCTGAAAATCAGTCAAGTAGTTACTATTTACAATTCATACTAAATATCGGTTATTCAAAAAGAAGTTTCTAAATAAGTACTAACTGGATATTCAACGATAAAATGATTATAGCAGAAGGGGTTTTCTGGATATTGTAGTAATTTCAGTGGTTGATATCATGAGTGGATGTGTACTGCTGAGGAATCTCACAATAAGACGAAACGGCCGTCCAGTTCTCCCTAGTTTTCAATGGTGGTCTAGCTTCAATTGACTCATGATAATAGGTTAATGACGAACTATGAATTCATCAAGAAACATTTAAAAAGATTAAGTATATAATCAGAGATCAAATATTTTAATATTATGTAAAAGACATTTCGGCGGAACTATAATTTATGGACGAATCAATCAGGTAAAAGATAATAGGTCTTAGATTTTAGCGCGAAATTCATTCATCTATTTAGCAAAAAATCATTTTAGCATTATAGCTGATTTCGATTCGTGATGAAAACTCTAAATCTAGTTCCTAACTCTAACCGTCGACTGTTAATCATAATTCTAATTCTTAACACTGATTCATAACTGTCATTTGGTCATATTTATTAGGTGGACACGCTCAAGGTCACTTTAGCGTCACTCAGAGATCATCCATAAATTATCGTCTTACTCACTACATCTAAGATTTCATAAATGATTAAATGATGAATGTTTTGATTATCAATATTAAATTTAGTATGTTTTCTAACCAGATACATTTTACCATTCGTACTTTTGTACGAATACTTTCCTTTCAGCTAATTGTTTAATAATTTATTGAATGCTTAATTTATTTGAAACAATTAAATCAAAGTCACTTGGTGTTATTTTGCTTGTATCTTCCCATTGTTATTTAGGACTGCAATTGATCAGTCTCTTATTTGCATATGTGCACCCTGTGCAGATTGCCTTGATATAGCCTTAAGCCACAAGCATTCTAAGTAAAGATGGATAGTGGCTAACAGTGGGATCCAAGACGTGCGTTTCGTTTTATTTGCACAAGCAGGTGACTATCAGAACTCAGTAGCTAAGTGGATAACGTGATAGCGTTTGAAGCGAACAGCACTGGGTTCGAGTCCTGGAGTGAATATCAACTCTGTGATTCAGTCGCATTAGGTGACGAATCCCAAGTAGAACAAAACGCGCTTTCTGGATTTCACTGCTAGCCACTATCCATCTTTGTTTAACTAAGTCAAACTTTGATAAAGATACCTACACTAATTGCATGTGAACAATAATAATTAAGTTTTTCATTGAAATGTAGTATTTATGCTCACCTACTAGATTTTGTGATGCCTATCTACTGTTACTTTTTGAAATGGTCGAACTGCATTATTTTTTTATCATGTCAGTAAGTGTGTAAACTAACCTGAGTGTTAATAAAAAGTAATTCAATAATAATTGGTATGAAGTGTTGGTGAAGATTAGTGAATTCAGTTATGGAACCAACAATAACCACAAAGTAGGAAACTCCAGCAGTTTACATACACAACAAATTTTCAAGTTTCTCTATGAACACTCAAACTATAGACCACTAAACTAGTACCCAAATGATACCCATTTCTGAAGATTTGTGTTCATCCTATTCAAGAATAGAGAGAATGAGAGACTTTATTAAACGATTATTATATTAAATGATATAAATCATATTCCATTGGTTAAATCAACTCAAAATTATTATTAATCAATCATTTCGAAGAAGAAGAAGATGAAGAAGAAGAAATGTAGTACACAATGTACTTCATTTGTATCTTTCAATTAATAAAGTAAATGTTTATGTCATTACATTTCAAAATGGAGGATGAAATATTCGCAGAAGAAAAGGACACAAACAAACAAGACAAAAGAAATATTTCATACGAATATCCGTCAAGATTAGAACGAATAGTTTGACAGAAAATGAGCGACAAGTATAGAAAAGTCATTATATGTGCACAATTATATTTGAAATAATCTCAGCGATTGAAATTTAAATAATTCCAACGTTTTGTCCATCTAACTTGTCTGAACTTCTTCAGGGCAACAAAACAAATTAACATTTTCAATAGAGGCGAAGAGAATTTACTGATATCGATTTTTAAATATTTGTGGCTTTTCCGTTAGATTAAAATTCGAGCATATTCTTTTATTTTATTTAATCAAGATAAATTCATGTATATATTTATGATATAAGTAGACAGTGTATAAGAATCTTTATCTGAATTTGAGCAAATAGTTTCATAGTATTTATATTGTAACTTGTGGTTTAATGCCCCTGATTCTTGCTTTTTACACCGTCATCAATTGTTATAACTTGTGGCTTGTATGCCCTGTTAATGTATTATGTGAATAGTTATCGATCGGACCAATGTCGCATAAAACCCGTACGAGCAGTCTAGAGTCCCTATCAGTCCTTCTTCCTGCCTAACCTTGCCCATTACGTCCAAAGCACCGATCTCAACCTCTACAATATGAATCATGTATTTCAAACATACTGGGTTTATATGCAAACCAAACAGACCACATCTTACCATAAAATGGGAAACAACACTTGTACAAGATTTAACTAAATGTGGCTGTGAATGTAGGAGATAGTAATTGATATATATATGTATAGTATTAAACAATGAATAGATCCCAACAGTTACGATTCGTTATTCTCCTCGTGATATAACAATAATCGTGTGAGGGTAGTAAATTTGAACAAGGTCTTTCCATTCTTCTTTTTTGAATAGTCACAAAGAAGAATAAAATTCAAATATTTACATTTATATATACACAGATCTTCAAATATAACACACAAACCACTGATTCGGTATCCAACGGTGTTTGTGACTAACTTCAACCAATGCAAGTTATTAAGCAACACATCCATTATTGTTTTCAGTGACTTACTATCTCACAACAAATCCTGTTGAACTCCACTAGTCACTGCTTCTCACTAGAACTTCAGGATATACCTCTTGAGAATTTGTTAATTAGTATCAGAAGTGGTTTTGTGGATATTATTAATAAGGTCAAAGGTGACTCAAGAAGAATGGTAAATTGGCTTGTCCAGAAGCAAGAATAAGTTGTATGGACTGTAATTGACACCACAGTATACCTTGGACAAGTTTCTATGTTTGAAATAATTTATAAATGATTAATATGTTAAAACCAATATTCAGCTTATAGATTTTTATTCAACAATCAAATACCCTCTGATATCTTACTTTAAATCAAAGAGCTATTTAAATGTTCAAAACATCTAACGTTCTAATGTTAAAATAAGTCCTGTATAAGTAGTGAATTCATACTGATGAGGAATCCCACAATGGGACGAAACAGTCATCAATTACTTCCAAGTTTACAATGATGGTGTAACATCAATCAATTCATCATCTGAACCAATAATAAATTATAATAATTTTTTCACACATTTGAGGTACGATTACTGACACACACACACACACACACCGATAAATTAAAGTTAAAATGTCAATATACAAATATAAATTATGAATGAACATTTAAACAATCTTTAATTTGGTTTAAAAAATAGAAACCCGAATGTTTATATTTACCGCTCAAAGTCAATTTCGGTTGAAATATGAATTCACCAATTTATTTTGATTATAACCCTGCTGTTTTATCTCCTTAATATTGGAACAAATATATAAAAAAATATTAAAATATATTCAAAATAAATGGTGTTATTTTTATTGACCTTTCAAAATATATGTAGCATTTATAAAAACTTTAATGATTTACTATTTTAAAGAAATCGAATAAACATTGACCAATATGTATATTACATCATCATCATCATCATCATCATCATCATCATCATCATCATCATCATCATCATCATCATCATCATCATCATCATCATCATCATCATCATCATCATCATCATCATCATCATCATCATCATCATCATCATCATCATCATCATCATCATCATCATCATCATCATCATCATCATCATCATCATCATCATCATCATCATCATCATCATCATCATCATCATCATCATCATCATCATCATCATCATCATCATCATCATCATCATCATCATCATCATCATCATCATCATCATCATCATCATCATCATCATCATCATCATCATCATCATCATCATCATCATCATCATCATCATCATCATCATCATCATCATCATCATCATCATCATCATCATCATCATCATCATCATCATCATCATCATCATCATCATCATCATCATCATCATCATCATCATCATCATCATCATCATCATCATCATCATCATCATCATCATCATCATCATCATCATCATCATCATCATCATCATCATCATCATCATCATCATCATCATCATCATCATCATCATCATCATCATCATCATCATCATCATCATCATCATCATCATCATCATCATCATCATCATCATCATCATCATCATCATCATCATCATCATCATCATCATCATCATCATCATCATCATCATCATCATCATCATCATCATCATCATCATCATCATCATCATCATCATCATCATCATCATCATCATCATCATCATCATCATCATCATCATCATCATCATCATCATCATCATCATCATCATCATCATCATCATCATCATCATCATCATCATCATCATCATCATCATCATCATCATCATCATCATCATCATCATCATCATCATCATCATCATCATCATCATCATCATCATCATCATCATCATCATCATCATCATCATCATCATCATCATCATCATCATCATCATCATCATCATCATCATCATCATCATCATCATCATCATCATCATCATCATCATCATCATCATCATCATCATCATCATCATCATCATCATCATCATCATCTTCATCTTTTTTTAACAATCACAATCATTATAAATAACCTGAAATGCTTTCTTGAAATAGAAAGATTGCTTTTTGTTAACAAATGTGATTTATGGTTAATTGCATAATCTTATTCTTTCTTCCGTAAATTATCCAGAATGATTAAGAATAAAAGGGTTAATCGGTCATGTTACCGTTTTAATATTTTAAATTTGTTTAAAAAATATAAAGATTTTGATCTTTTTGTAAAAATTCTTTCCAAAGTTCAATCTATGACATTAGGCGTAAGTTTTTTTTATTTAAAAAAAATACAAGTTAGACATTAACATCATAGGATGCCATCTTAGTGGTCTAGAAGTTAAGTGTTCGTGCCGAAACGGATAGGTCCTGAGTTCGGATCTCCCGAGGAGGGATCGTGGTTGCACACTGTTGAGGAGTCCTAAAATAGGACGAAACAGCCATCCAGTGCTTGCACATTTTCCATGGTGGTCTAGCTTTAATTGACTTATGATCTCAACAATTAACCTTGATTGTTTTTTATCTGAACATATGTGCGTACAATTAATCCTACTCATCACATGTTTGTAGCTTACTTTTGTGTGACTGTAAATTTTGATTAACTTTTGCCTAAATAGAGTTGGCTCACACGCCCTCTTCACTGCGCGTCATTTAATTACGCTTCGCTTTTTCTTCTTCGCTTCATTTCCCGCGATTCTCTGATTGTCTGTCCAGATCAATGAGTGTATAAAATATACATTTTCAAACATCCATTCTCGTATTTGACTTATTTGATTCAATTATTTACCAACGCCATTTCACTCGATGATTATGTACAAAGATTGACGATATTTAGATTTCAGTAACAATCAAATATATGATATAACTGAATTCAGATCGCGGTCCACAAAAATACCATAAAAATATTCACAAATAATCAGTGAGGACTGAAAATATTAAGAGTTACACTTACAATATAACGGCAAACTCAGTAAAAAGTATTACAATGGAATTTTCATTGTTATGATGTGAGTAGTTTGAGAAACACATCGATTATAAGATTTTGTATTGTTCTAAGTAAAGTAGTTAATATTGTGTTCCAGGATATAAGTTCTGAGTCTCAACTTGTAACATAACTATACGTGATCTTCAACCATAGGTTAGCTGTTATTGTTCGACAGTAAAGAAGGAGGGTATTGGAGTAAATTTTCAGAAAAAAGACCATTAGATGAAAGATGAGCTAGTTGATTATTAAGCATGTAGGATGTGGCTAAATTAGTTGATAAGAGCAGTCCAATACGATTAGGATTCAAATAAACAGGTTTCAGGTTTGATACACTGTACTTATAAGCTTTATTGGGTATATCACAAGATATTTAGCTGTAATTCAGAGTTTCTAAAAAGGGTCTGACGATATTTCCTTTTTTGAACACCAAAATTTTGTTAAGTACTAAGTACATAAGATAGAAAAATGAAAGGATTTACTATTGTCAGTCTGAAAATATAATACTTCACTACTTCAGCAGGTCGAGGTCATCCCAACATGTTACTTACAAAAGAGATCTGTATTAAATCATTTAAGTGACCTCCAAATATCTAAACTCAGGAACACAGCGTATAAAGCGTTAACGTTAAAAAACAAAAGGTATCAGGTTCTAGTTCCGCTGTAAACATGAGCATTGAATTACAGGTATTTTGAATAAACGAGTAGGAATTAGGGTTCGGTGGGGGGGAATCAAGTCGCGGATTTTAATACTAACCACAATCTAATTTTATTAGTGAGTTTAATTCAATTAAACTAATTCAACGAACAACTGACACAAATTACCTCAAGCATTTGTAACCCTTCATATTATTTACATTATTTTATTTGTTGAAATAATATTGCTCGCGGGCGAAGCCAGTAGGTCCTGGATTCGATCCCCGCGTGGTGCAGGATCGGGGATGCGCATCGCTGAGGAGTCCCATACCAGGACGAAACGGCCGTCCAGTGCATCCAGGTTTTCAATGGTGGTCTAGCTTCAACTGACTCATGATTTCAACCTGTGAAATTTATAAAACTCTCCACAAAACCCATTCTGATAATAAGAAACTCATGAATAAATTATGTTCTTTATCAATGTATAGATTTCTACAAATCTATTTCTACCTTTCTATAAATTGAAATGATTTAATCCGCTCAAAATACACTTGTAAAGAATGAGACTGATCATTTACCATCTTACGTAACAAAAATGAAGTTCTATATACCTTTACTTAATAATTCATCTGTATAACCGAGTTTTTTTTATGTATATCAACAATCATCATCAGATGGTGGAGAAAGATTTGTAGCTCAGGTGGAGTTTCGTTCTCTGAGCTGGAATGTTTGGTCGTGGAGCTTTCACTGTTCTTCTGAAAGACATCATCCGCACAAACTTCAGATAGAAGTGAATTTCTAATTTCTCCAGCTCACAGAACGAAACTTCGTCAAAAAGAGACATCATCAACTACGACGTCATGTGTAAAGCTATAATTTATTTTATTTTAATATACTAATTTAATTTGCAGATACTGTACTGTTTTTAAGATGATTAACAATTATTGAACATTTTACTGGACGATTTTCGAAATTATATTAGTTTTGTTCAAGGATGTAAATTTTGTTTTCATCTTGAAAAATCGTCATGAATGATAAAGTCTAGAATTAGTTTACGGTATAGAATGACAATGTATTTGTAAATTGATGATAGAATTCATCTTGAGAAACCTAGAAGCACTGGATGGCCATTTTGTTCTGATATGGGACTCCTCAGCAGTGCACATCCACAAAATTCGAACCCGGGACCTTCGATCTCGCACACGAACTCTTAACCGCTATTTATAGTCATTTTTATAATGAATGTGAGGAATACAATTCGACAGATATTTTAAAATCATTCATTTTTGTAATTGATATCATGAGACCGATCACTGGCGAGACTATAATGTATGGACTAACCAATCACGTATAAGATTACAGATCTCACATTTTGGATTGAAATTCACTCATCCATTTGGCTAAATAGAGTTTTGGTCTTATAATTGATGTGAGTTCGAGATGAAAACCCTAAATCTAATTTCTAACCTTAACCATCAAATGCAAATCATAATTCTAATTATTCACATAAGATGAAGACCGTCGTTTGGTTCTGGTTATTAGGTGGACACTCTCAAGGACAGTTTAGCACCACTGTAAGATGGTTTATAAATTATAGTCTCATCATAAGTAGTATTGTGTGGAAAATAATTATCTTTGGAAAACCAGATATAAATATCGTGTTTAAATTTATTTTCAATCAAATCCGTATTCCTACCGTATATTCATATATACTATTATCTTCATTTAATTGTAACTCATTATGAAGTTTTGTAACAACCCTAAATCTATGTACTAAGCTTAATCATCAACTGTAATTTGTAATTATAGGTTGGTAACCCTCATTTAGTCCTGGTTATTAAGTGAACACTCAAGTTTAGTCTAGCGTTGCTCAAAAGTCGTCGACAAATTATAGTTTTACCGGATCACTTTCAGTTATAGATGGATCATTATTGTAAAGATGGTGCTATTTCTCAAATATTTGCTCAGAGAATGAGTATTTAACTGTACATTATATTAGTTAATCAATTTTCAATACATTACATGAATTATCAGAAGGGGTTTGTGGAGATATTTTGAAATTTCACAGGTTGAAATCATGATTCAATTGGCTAAGCCACCATGGAAAACCTGGAAGCACTGAACGGCCGTTTCCTCCTAGTACGGAACTCCTCAGCAATGCGCATCCACGATTTCGCACCCCACGAGATGCGAACCCAGGACCTATCAGTCCCACATCAAATGCTTAACCAACTAAACCACTGAGTCTACCTCCAGTTGACTCATGATTTCAATCTGTGATATTACATGAATTAATGTATAAATTGACTTATAACTCCTGTAATAAATAGATTACATAAACCCCTAAACATTCGACTAACCTAATAGCTTTGTACATTTACAATGCTCATCAATATAAACGACAAATACTATTGAACTAGAAACTATTTTATTTAATTAACACTGTACCTATTTTCGGACACTAATTTATTCTGTCTTTAGTAAAGTAATAAAATTTTTCCATAAATAAAAAATATGTATGTAGGCATTTTTGGTTATTCAACTGTTTAATTAAACACATTTTATGTAGGATAAAGTAACTACACAAACCTTGAAATAAATTCCTTTACAAGCATAATGTTTAGCTAACTAAACTTTAACGGTGGTTGAAGAAGACATATTATATAAACACTAGTAACAATCATTGAAAATCAGAGAGCAAACCGCACAGCTTATTCATTTTAGTATGGAAATTGCAGCATTATACAAACAGTAAGCTATAAGGAATTGAACCCTGAACGTTTAACTTTCATGATGAACATTTAACGTGTGGATCAAGAAATTAGAGTCCAGTGGTTGATATTTAAAACTTTAATCAGTGATCTACTTCATGGTTAAAGAAATTGTATTGAATCAATGAAGATTTTTAAAGATTTAAAATTTGATGGCTTATAACTTAATAAGTCACCGAACAGTTGATCAGCTTTTATTAGTCATGTTACTATGTAAGCTCTATTATAAGTTATTTGTGGTTTAAGGTATGCTACTTATACGGATAGATATAAGTAATAAGTATCAAGAATTAGAAGTATGATTCTTATTGACAAAACAGGAACATCAGTAGAACAGAAAAGAAAACTAAAATAGTCAAAGTAGCAAAAGGAAAGCGAGAACGATGAAGTTTGCAATAGACAATTCAAGGAAGACATGAAAATCTTGTATTCAATGTATTGTTTTCATATTTTACAAATGATTTCGATTAATATGATGAACTGATCAAGCTTACTCAAGTCGTTATTTACTACACTGTGGTTAAACGTTAGGTCACTGAAAACAGTCAGCAGGGAATATATCTTGTCAGTTAATATTCATAAGTAAGGTGTATCTTTAGTCTTAAGATACCCTATGTTTACTACGGCAATTGAAGCAGTGTCGTCTAACTC